TTTTTTTTAGATGTTGATGAACCTTTATTTTATTCATTTATTTATATGTGGTGCTGAGAATCAAACCCAGTGCCTCACACATGCTAGGCAAGCTCTCTACCACTGAGCCCCAGCCTCAGCCCAAGGGCCTTGCTTTTTGCCAAGGCTGGCTTTGAACTCGTGATCATCCTGCCTCAGCCTCCCAAGCCACTGGGATTATAGGCATGCACTACTGTGCTCAGCCTGACCCTTAAGTCTGACTCATTTCACTTGGCATGGTGTTCTTCAGTTCCATCCATTTACCAGCAAATGATATAATTTTATTCTTCTTTATGGCTGAGTCAAACTCCATTTTGTTTATATACGCCACATTTTATTAATGTACTTATCTATTGCTGCATACCTATGCAGGTTCCATAACTTAGCTATTGTGAATTGTGTTGCCATAAATATTGGTATGCATATGCTGCTTGGTATGCTGACTTTAATTCTTTTGGATAAATACCAAGAAGTAGTAAAGCTGGGGCATATGATGGTTCCATACTTAGTCTTTTGAGGAACCTCTATAACTGATTTCCATAGTGGTATTACTAATTTTCAGTTCCACTAAGAGTGTGTAAATGTTCCTCTCCCACCCCTGCATCCTCACCAGCATTTGTTATTTGTATTTTTGATGATTACCATTCTAACTAGAGTAAGATGAGATCTCATTGTAGTTTTAATTTGCATTTCCTTGATTGTCAAATACGTTGAACATTTTTTCATATGTCACAAATATTGACTTATATGAGCCTTAGTTGCCAGCATTCAGGGGGATGAGCATACTTTCTCTCTTTTTCTCTCTTTAATTTTAGTACCAGGGATTGAATGAGCCACATCCCCAGTTCTTTTTATTTTTTATTTTGAGACAGGGTCTTTCTAAGTTGCTCAGGGGTCTCATTAAGTAGCTGAGGCTGGCTTTGAATTTGTAATCCTCCTGCCTGAGCCTCCCAAGTCACTTGGATTACAGATGTGTGCCACCAAACCCAGCTGCCGTGCATACATTCTTGGCCTTGGAACCCAGATGCTAGACCCTGCAGAATCCCTCCAGTGACTGACAGTCTTGGAGCTATCCCCCCATCCCATCTACAGTGAATTTTGAATGTGAAGCCTGGCTCATGCCTAGTTGCATCCAGGGAGCAAAGATGAACAGGAAGTCTGGTTCTAGATGAGCTTACAGTGTGGGAAGGCAAATTTAGGCTCTCAGAAACATGTAGCTGCAGTTTCTCAGCCTGCCAGCTCAAAACTCAACTTCTAGTGATTAAAAGTGTTTAATGTATTCATTAAAGATCCCTATAACACTCTGATTTCTTGTTTCCTTTCTTTCTTTCCTGTTTTTTTAAAATATTTTTTTAGGTGTAGATGGACACAACACAATGCTTTTATTTTTATGTGGTGCTGAGGATTGAACCCGGGTCCTGCCCTTGCTAGGCGAGTGGTTTACTGTTGAGCCACAATCCCAGCCCTCTGTCCTGTTTTTAAAAATTTCCATAGCTTTATATTTATTTATTTTTCAGTATTGGGGATACTGCAAACCTAGGGTCTTGTGCATACTAGGCAAGTACCCTACCACTGAGCCATAACCCCTATTTCCCCCTAATTTTGGAACGGCTGTTAACTCCAATTCCCTGACTAGAGGCCAAGTCTGGGTACTTCACTTTGCTAATCTACATTAACCCCATGGCATCTGCCCATCACACTTTCCATTCATGAGATCAATAGGTGAATTGGTGGGTGCTGATGAAGTGACAGATACACACGGCAGGGGCAGAGGTGGGCACTGTCCCAGGCTGCCA